ACACATGATTGTCACAGCCACCAATGCACACACTCAGTTTTGTGGAGGAGAAAGTGACAAGCTGCTCTGACAATGGAACCAAGTCGATGTTTACAAGTCAACGGACAACATGCACAGACTCAGAGAGCAACCATGGGACCAAGCCACGAGGGACCTGTGAGAGGCAGGAAGGCCACCAGGACACTCTGCAACTTCAAAAATGACTCAACAGCCCCCTCTTCTGACCAAAAAGAGGGCTGCCGCTTCTTCCATAATGACAACTACCCCCACCTTAACCCTCCTAGCCCCTAAGCAAATTGTAAAAATCCCCAGTTCCTGAACTGCCCTGCTTCATTCAACAGTCCTTGATACCAACCAGCACAAGCCCAAGTCTTCGAAAAAGCCCCTCCCTGGGGGCCCTTCACCAAGACACCAAGAGTTCCTGTGCTGAGTGATGGCCCTTGCTGCAGGAAGCAAACGGAGCCTACTTTGTTTGAATATACGGCTGTTTCTGGTGGGTTGGAGTGGATGGGCTTCAACACAGAGCAATCCTGATGTTAATATTCTGCCCCAGCATCAGACCATGGGTCCCTTTTATGACTCAGGAAATGTGGTCACCACAATTATGTTCATTAAGTAGCAGAAAGGGCTAAATTCATGAGAAACAAGAGTTCCAGTTTGAGATTACGATCAATGAATGACTATGGCCACCAGCCAGTTAACTGTATAAATCCCTAAACCATCCTATAGGCGCTACTTTGCCTCCCTGAATCTAGACAGCAGAGCCAAGACGGTGGTAGAAGTAGCAGCTATGGGCTCTGCAGCTAGCTGAACACAGCTGTTCCTCAGTGTCCATTAGTTCATGGAAATATATATATAATCATATATTTTTTTTTACCATATCCTAATAAAAACCATTTAGATAGGTTTCTTTCTTAGAGTTTCCATTAGCTCATGAACAGAAACAAAAGATTCACTATAACCTAATAAATTCCATTTTGAAAAGAAAATTACTTCCCAATTTTAAAAACAATCATTTGTGACCAAAAAAAAAAAAAAAAACCAAACAAACCTATTTTGGGGGTATAGCTCGGGGGTAGAGCATTTGACTGCAAAAAAAAACCTATTTATCATAAAAACATCTTCTGATGTCTAGAGATCTAAAACTAAAATTTCAGCCTTAAAGGCCACATCTAGTTAAAACTTAAGACACTAAATAAAAAAACTATAATGACCGCAGCACATTTTGTGAGCACTTACTGTGTGCATTTGTGCTCTTCTGCACACGCACACATTATTTCATGTCATCTATGCAACAACCCTTTAAGAACTAATATTCTCATCTCACAGATGACAAAACAGAGGTTCGAAGGTCATAACCAATTAACCGAGGTCCCAAGCTACAAGGGGGCTGAATCAAGTTTTGAAACCCAAGGCCTGTAATTCCAAATTCCAAGGTTACCAGGTAGATTGTCTCTACTGGGTGTGAAAACGAATCAACACCGTCCTTGAAACAATTATAAGACTGGATCATAAGGAAAGCAGTTTAAAAACTAAAGCTACACAGCACTAAAGTGTCCTTTAGAATTAGAATTTCATCTTGCCACATCCAGTTTATTTTTATTATGCCATTTATGGGCCAAAGCTCCCAAGAAAAAGTTATTTTTCACAAACTACTCCTTGTACCAATGAACATCCATTTTAAAACCAGTTGGTATATAAATTACCTGAATATAGTCCTGGATTTTTTTTATGAGTTTCTCCGCTCTGAATTACCTTCTTGAAAAAGGGGAAGAATGCAAGTGTGAACAATGAATGTGTGAAGAGAATTTCAATGGGAAGGCATTATCCCTACTCCCCAATAAATAAAATAAAAATAAAAGGACTTTCAAAAGACACTTTCACTAAGTTTTGTTGTTTTTTTCCCTCTGAATAAAGTAAACAAGAGCAAAGGGCACCTTGACTACTACTTAGGAAATAAAATCAGAATGCAGGGAAATCTGTAATGCTAATCACATTTACACCTTCTCTCCTTTTTTACATTTCTCATCCAACATCCTTAGAAGCTCAATAGGCTTAAAAGAATTGGAGCAGCGTAGAGAACAAAGGTGAGGAGAATCTGAGAAATGACTTGAATGGCTGTTCTCACCGTTTTAATAATTCCAAATTGAGTAACATAGTAAAAGTGAAAATGTAGGAAGATGTAAAGTCACAAATGTAGGAAGAAACTATAGAAAGTTGTTCTACCTGCTTATATTATAAAAATGGGATTCTGACTAGACCTCTCAGGAATTAACCACTTGTAGACAGTAAATGAAGAAAACACACACACACACACACACACACACACCTTTCAAGGAAACAAGTATCAGATTTAAATGTATTGGCTTTTTTGGGGGGGTAGGGTACCTCAGGACCTTGAGATCATGACCTGAGCCAAAATCAAGAATATGATGCGGGGGCGCCTCGGTGGCTCAGTGGGTTAAGCTGCTGCTTTCAGCTCAGGTCATGATCTCGGGGTCCTGGGATCGAGTCCCACATCGGGATCTCTGCTCGGCAGGGAGCCTGCTTCCCTCTCTCTCTCTCTGCCTACTTGTGATCTCTCTCTGTCAAATAAATAAATAAAATCTTTAAAAAAAAAAAAAAAAAGAATATGACACGTAACTGACTGTGCCACCCAGGCGCCCCCTAAATGTATTAGGTTCAGTCAGTGAAAGCCCATACGCCAAATAAATACATTTATTACAAGGAATATCAATATCTGTATTTTTACATGGAAATGACCACGTATATTAACTATTGTTCTCTCTTGAGATTGAGGATGACATTAGACAATAAGATACCCAACTGCTATCCTCAATCAAGCTAATGTTATAGATCATATACAAATACAAAAATAGAGCAAAGCAGTTACAAAGCACATCATCTATGTGTGGTTTACTCAGTTTGGGAATGAGATTGTTACAGTGGGAAGAAGAGAAGTATCAATGTCAAAAGAAATAGTTTAATATTTTATTTAATTATTCAAATAAAGCAATCACTAACAATATGGAGCCAAGAATGATTCTAATCAAGGGGATTCTAATTTGGAATAATACTTTCATGTGACTTTTTCTTAATGCAAATATCAAAAGAATTTAACCCTTCTTTCACCAGCACCATTGATGTCCCTAACTGCAACCCCACAGAGCCCCTTTCCTCGGTACTGCTATGATTCCCCCATCATGTTAAGCCACAGATAAAGGAAGGTCTAGCAACAGGGAAGCAAGCCAGAATGTCATAGAAAAGAAGGTGCATCCCATCCTGGTTCTTTTTTAGGGGTCATGGGTATCAAATGCAAATAAGGACACCATTTCCTTCTCTATAGGGCAGAGCTTCAGTTTCCTCTCAGATCCTGGTAAAAAGGTCCATCAGTGATTGATACTCTGGAAAGTTCCTCTACAAAAGAGATGAAATACACACAAGGTTCTAGAAATGTAACACCTAATCGGTGTGTTACATTCGGCAGGTACCAGAAATACTAAGCTATGAGAAAGGCAAGGAAATCATGGCCTTACTGGGGAGCTGTCAACATTTCCTGAACATAGCAGCCAAAATTATGGTATTTCTGGGATAAAATCTAATAATGCAGCTCAATGCCTTCACCCTGTCCACCTCCCCAACACAACTCCCACTTTAGTAGTATTAGCTACTGATAAGTGAGTTTTAGTTTTGTTTTTTAATAAAAAGAATGTACTGATATACACCAATGTGCCCAAACTATTGTTTGAGAAAACTGCCCTAAGCTGAGAATACCAACTATCTTCTCTCAAATAGTATAGAAGAAGCACCTAGTACTGAATAGACATTCAAATAAATACTTGAAATTATTTCAAATATTAAAGACTGGTCATGTAAACTAAAATGGATTCAGTGTTCCCAAATTCTCAGATTTTCCTTGTAAGATGCCTGGAGAACTGGGTTCACCACCAGCAAAGCAATTAAGCAAGATAGCTACGGCTCCATAGTGCTAAGAGCAAGTCTCTTCGCCCTAAAAACTCGGGCAGAGGATGTAAATTTTAGACCCAAGCATCCTCTACAAATAATTTTTTTCAACCAATAAGATCACAGCATTCGTCTGTGCATTGACTTCACAGTCAGGGTGCACCGCATAGTACGATCTTAGCTTCAGACACCGCTTATTGCGTTTGACAACTAAGACCTCATCTCCCAGACCAAAGGTAAACTGGAAATCCCGCCAGCAGAAGGGAATTTGCGCGGTAGGGGTGGGAAGCAGGGGGTAAAGGGGCAGGCAAACGGCGTTGCAAGAAGCAGAATCCACACCCGCGACGCTCACCGTATTCTCTCCCCTTCAATCTCTGCCATACGTCTCATCCATGCTTAGTGAGTGGCTACCCGATACGTTCAATCTGATCGCCCGTTGCCGTCACACCTTTCAGGCGTTAAAACTACCCAGTTGGTCTGAGAGACGCACTGGGTAGTTCAGGTTCCCGCAAGGAGGGCTGCGTGCCAGGGCGCAGAGAGGCGGCTAAGGGTCATACCAGTGTGGGTGCACCGGTCCGCGTCCGAATTAAAAAGGAGACCGGCTGCCCATTCTCCAGCAAAGGAGAAGAATACGGGTTTGTATTTTTAGCATCAAACTTGGAGCGACCAACCCAACTCTGTCCACTACACGAGGAAGCAGCAAACCGAGGCCCCCCGGCGGGGCAGTGGTGAAATTTCCACTCGCAACAGAAACGCAGTCAGGCCGCGCTGTCCCCAGCTGTCAGCTTTGCGGGCCTCTTCCAACATCAGCAGAGAACACCGGAGCCAGCGGGGGCAGCAAATGCCCAGAGCCCAGCTTAGCCTCGGGCGGAGTCAGGGAGGCCTCGCTAGGGTTCACGTTGCCCGGCCGGAGCGCCTGAAAGGTCATCTGGCCACCAACAGCCACCCCGAGGGCCTGGGGAGCGCGGAGTCCGCGCTCAGGACGCCCCCGGCCCGCGCCCAGGCGCAGCGCTCTGCGCCCGCCCGACGCGCCTCACCTGCCCGCGGCGAATCCGGCAGCCCCTTGACACCTCCCACCAGGCGCCACTGGAAAAGTTTCCGAACTTCTTCGCAGCTGGGCATGTCCTCGCTCCGAGTAGATCCAACGAGAGCCAGGAGGAGGAGACAGCAACAGCCCGCGCGCCAGGTCGGTGCGTCCATCATCGGTGACCTCGTCGCCCCTTCCCACGTAGTGGACCCCACTCCCCCAGCGCGCCCTGCGTTGCAGGCGCTGGAAAACGCTCGGCGGTCGCGGTTCCCAGAAGGTGCAAGCTGGCGGCGGGCGTTCCGGGGCCGTTCCGGGACGCCGGCTTCACCTGGGGGCACTTGGCTTTCTCCCGGGGAGCTCCGAAGCTGAAACAGCAGAGTTCTCCGGCAGAGCGCCGCGAGGTCTCCCTCTCCGGCGGGGGCGAGTTGGCGCAGCCCGGGGGAGGAAAACGGCTGGAGTCGCACGGAGCCCGCGAGCATCCAGCTCTGGCCACCGCCGCGGTAGCCTCGGGCTCAGCCAGCAGCGGCCAACCTGGGATGCGCCCGCCCGCCGCGCTCCGCAGGCAAGCCCCGCCCCTCCACGTTCCGCCCCGCGCCCAGGCTCCGCCCCCCACGCCACGCCCCCGGCGCGCGGCCGGCGGCTGCTCCCGCCTTCTTGCTGTCAACGCGGCCCCACGCAGGACAGACCTCGGAGCAGCGCTGCCTGGATCGAGGAAACGAAGAAATAAAACGAAAGCCCGTCCGCGCTCTCGCAGTCCTTCCCGAGGAACAACCGTCTAATCAAAAGAGCGAGCGAGCGTAGGAAGAGGTTCCGAGAAGATAAGGGATGAGAAACACCAACTGGAAGGAGGATGAAGTACTTGGCTGGAAGTCGAGGTCTTCAGGGCACGGGAATTCCTGTCGAAATTGTATGAAATAGGATCTGGGCACACACCAAGGGCAAAAACTACACAGTGGAAGATCCCAACCGAGAAGCTTGATCGCATTCACGAGGTTTTAAGACGGTCCATGAGAAGTTAACTTTTTAAAAAATTGATTTGTGTTACTGCCTTGGAACATTTTTCTGTAACATTAACTGACTCTCTGAGAGAATTTAGAGATCATAAGAATTACATTCAGACATCATCAGGTTCTTATTATCACAGTAGAGTCCGGTTTGGTGTCTTGTCAACCTTCAGCATCATATTTTACTTCAGTACTTCGTATCTATCTGGGCCCTTCTGAGATGTATCACCTCTGGAATCTGTAAAAAACATTTCTCAAAGAACTAAGATTAGCGTGCTCAGGGGAGTTTCTAAAAAGATAGAAAAATGAAGACTTTAGGCAATTTAAAAATGACAAAGGAACTTTGTCAATTTACAATTTACAAAAAGAATACATTAGAAACCATACATCAGTGGGTCATGTGCATTTTCTAAACGTGACTAACTCAGCAGCCTGCGAGTGAAAAGCGTCTCTTCGTCTACAGGCACCTGAAGGCACTACTCCTCCAGTCAAACAAAACTGCTTGAAAGCATCAGGCAGGGTGGACTATAAATGCCTCAACCACTTAAAAGGAATTTAATCTCAAATTTGAACCCTTGCCAAGAGATAGAGATGAATAATTTTAAGTCTTAGTTCAGTGTCATGGGACTTTTAATGACCATTTGATATCAATGGCAGCACTCTCAGCCATAGATTGCTTGCTTTAAAACCATTCCAGGGAAATGGCTGAGATAGTTCTTCAGCGAAAGAGTGCTCACTTGCCTTTTGACATCAATTCCATGAATACTAGGTTTTTGGTGTGTTTTTTTGTTTGTTTCTTTGTTTTTGAGAAGCTCTCTCAGTAAATGAGAATTGGGGGTGGGGGGAAACAGCTGCTTTTAAGTTCAAGGACTTCAAGCAAAGTGGTATATACGTACCCCTAGGGGAGCTGGGAAGAACTTACCCCCCATGAACTTCTTCTCTAGCCACCAAGCATGGAGAGATTGCTTGGAAGTCAGCAATGTGTATCTATGAGAAGAGTGAGAAGAATGACCAGGAGGATGTATATAGCACCTAGATGACAGACAGCACTCCAAGTGGTTTTTAGGGATACTAATTCATTCATTTAATCTTTAGAATACAGAATGCATGCTATTAACCTCAGACTCTCAGCCACTCCATGCCATACCAGAGAACATATTGGGCTACATTGAGCAACACCAAAGGTGGTCTACTAATTTATCAGATTTTTTTTACTAGTAATTATATATAATTTTAACTATGGAATTTTATTCTACTAGAATTCCTTCTGTGTCAGTATAAGGCTAGTAAATCCCCAGGTTTTTCCAAAACTTTTTTTCTTTATCTAGATCTCTCCTTGATAGATTTGATCATCATAGGGTATTAGCATTAAAAGAATCCTTAGAGATTACCTGGTCCAATTCATTCACTTGGAATTTCTAAAATAATATGCCTTGCAAGGGTAAAATAACAGACACTACTGAGAATTACTGATGGTTCAGTAAAAACTAATCAACTAACAAATATTGATTGAACACATACTAAATGTAAAAAAACAAACCACCATGCTAGGCATAATAGGGATTATAGAGACATGTAAGCAAATTCTAATCTTTGTTTTTACAATTTATTTCAACAAAACAATTAGGTGGGAAGCTATAAAGAAACAGAGTAGGGGCTAATGAGAAATTAGACCATATAAAATGTCCCCCCCAATCACACAAAAAAATATTTGTTTCTACTTTTTATTCCTTATTGCTACCACAGTAATTGTGTTGGAAGGGCTTGTTTTCCTAGAAGTATCCTTATGCCAGGCACCCAAACAAAACGTATGTGCTGGCTATGCTGTGAAGCTTCAAGAAAGTTTCCTTCTTCCAACCAGAATGCAATATCAATGTGTCTTTTGTATGAACATTCTAGAACAACCTCTACATATTATACTAAAACTGATCATTTGTTCAATTTACCTCTAAATACTACAGATGAAGCTAGAGAGAAATCTCCTTATTTTGATAGTGATAATGGCTCAGTTTTCAAAGGTTATTCAATAAACATTTATCGAATGCCTTTTATCTAATAGGCATGTGTTCTGCTTTTGAAATACCAATACCATTAGATAGGAAAACCTTTAAATGGTCATCATTTAAAATACAACTTTGGATCTTCTAAATGCAGAGCTTATAAATAACCATGTAAAATGTGTCAACTTGGGGTGCCTGGGTGGCTCAGTCAGTTAAGTGTCTGTGACTCAAGTCATGGTTCCAGGGTCCTGAGATGGAGTCTTGGGTCAGGCTCCCTGTTCATTGAGGAGCCTGTTTTCCCTCTATCCCTCCCCTTCCTCATGGTTTCTCTCTCAAATAAATAGGATCTTTCCAAAAAAATAAGTAAATAAAATGTGTCAACTCAAGACCTTGTAAAGAGAAATGAAGAAGTTAGGGTATGACTTAGGTGATCTTAATGATATCACGTTGCCCTCAAACCCAACTACTGCTTTGGGGTAAGACTGGCCACTGGTTAGCTGGACCTCAGAAGCTGGTTAGAGCAATTTATGTACCCAATCATTAATAATAGCTAATATTTATTTCGTGCTTACAAGTATTACCTCATTTAACATTTCAACCACCCCATGAGGCAATGACTATTCTATTACTAATGAGAAAACAGAAGTATAAAGAGATTAAGTAAACTTCCAGAAGCTGTAGATCTGGTAAGGGCCCAAAAGTAATCCGGGCATTCCAACTCATGTACTCCCTTAGCCACTACACTCTATTGCCTCTGACAAAAGTTACCTATTTGGGGCTCATTGACTCAACCTATTATATATGGATAGAACCCTGGTACATTCTGCTAGTCTACAGCCCTCTTGACCTCATCTTTATAGGGGTCCAGAGACCTGCAGTGGCTCTAACCCTGGCCCATAAAGTACCTTTCCCAGCAGTTGGATGAGCTACTATTTGCTTCTCCCTAGTTCCTCCACTAAATTTTCAGTCGTGAGAACTGCATTGTCAGGACTAAAATTCCATGTGCTGCCTGGACATCTTTGAGCCTTATAGGGTTGGAAGAGGTTAGCTATGAGTTCTGCTCTTGCCAGATATGATGCCCCAACCCCACCCTACCCCCACCCAGCAGGAAATACTCTCTCCCTAGTTAACTCCAGTATCAGTCAGACCAGCTCCAGCCCCCCTTATCTTCAACCTAATCTGTCTCCCCTCAACCTTCCTTGGGAACCAAGGGTCATCTCGCCCTCCTGTCTCTACAAAGCCTGCCTCCCCCAGCCCCTGCTGGTCCACTCTGCTCCCAAGTACAACCCGCAGGGCCCTGTGTGGTGTCCTCCTCCCCTGGACTGTGAGTATATAAGACTAATAAACTGTTGTGAATCTGATCTGTCCATTGTCGTGTGTATGGTCATCTCAAAGTACGGGGTAAATAGGAGGTGGTTAGAACAAGAATATCCTCAATACATGTGCTTCCACTTAGCTCTTGCCAAAAAACTCCTGACTTTTGCCTTGCCCTACCTTCTACAACTTCCAAATGCAGTCTCTATTCCCCTCGCTGCCTGGCTAAAGGAAGCCAAATTGTAGGTCAGTAAGGAATGTCTGCTGCCAACAAACCAGAAAGAAATTGAAGGAGCCTCCCCTCATGTCTCCTCAGGTTCAGACACTAATTGAGAAAAAGCTGCCTGCAAGAAAAAACCCCCAGCAAAGCACAACATTCCAGAAAATACTCAAAACCAGACACCACGTTGAAATTTACATGGAAATCAGAAACACATTTTCCAGCAGTGTTTCTAAAAATATGTATTTACTGCTAATGTATATTTCCAATTTGAAAATTCTCATCTTCTAATCACCAATACACATTTGTCCATGATTTTGAAATACATTAAATGCATTTTTGTCATTTTCTCAGAGTAATTATGCTCTAAGGCAAAAACAATGCAACTTTTTAAGACTTTTTTTTTAAAGATTTTATTTATTTGTTTGACAGAGAGAGACACAGTGAGAGAAGGAACACAAGCAGAGGGAGTGATTGGGAGAGAGAGAAACAGGCTTCCCGCCTAGCTGGGAGCCCAACTTGGGGCTGGATCCCAAGACCTTGTGATCATGACCTGAGCCAAAGGCAGACGCTTAACGACTGAGCCGCCCAGGTGCCCCAAGACAACACAACTATTTCACCAAAAGCATTATAAGAACAAACTGTTCCTGTACAGAAATTTCAAAAGTATTTTAAACTGTATTTAATTTTACAGTTTCTGTATTTTAATTTCTAATGAAAGACATTTTATTTATTGCAAAGAATTTACTGAGAAATAAAAATATTTGCTACCTTCTAAACGAGAAAGAATTAGCGAAGACACTAAGAAAAGAAACTGGGAACACTCAATGAGTTTATTAAACTAAATTTCTTTAACTTTCTTCTCCGGGCACCTGGGTGGCTCCGTCATTAAGCATCTGTCTTCAGCTCAGTTCATGATCCCAGGGATCATTCCAGTGATA